ACCCGGTCCATGTTTTGTATCGGGTTTTCCATTGGCTCTCGGGGCTTTTTAGCTTTTTGGGTGTTGTTGATTAGCATGCATATGTGTGTGTGTGTGTGTGTGTGTGTAAGTTTGTGTTCAGCGACAGCCGCCACACAGCAGCAGAAGATATCGTACTTTGCGGCTTTGTGGCCAGCCTGTGTGTGTTTTGTCGTTACGAAACACATATAAAAAGTTTTTTTATTAGAAATTTATTTAAGTTTTGCTTTTGGGAAAAACAAAAAAAAAGCTTGATTTTATTTAAATTGTATAAAAAGCTAACCGATAAACACTCCAACCAGTCGGCAACACACAAACCAGATGTTTATGGGGGGCCATGGCAGATGTAGCATTTCGGCGGGGATTTTTCTTAGGTCTGGTATTCCGTCGCTTGGCTTAGCTCGATAATTGACCCATAATTAGTGGTATAAAGTTCCAAATGGGCTTGTTCCAATGCTGAAGTTGCTATTTACAGTAGCACCCCTGGAGATCATTCTTTAATCCCATTTTATTTATGAACACCGCTGCAGAAGCGCTTGGACGAACGTCATTTGCTTTGAGTTACCAATCTTTTGTCTATAATTCTACTATTAACCAACAAAAAGTTAAAAAACCAGTTGCTTCTACAGCAAAAAAAACAAGGAATTGGGAAACAACGTGTGCCGCCGTGCCGGTGGTTTTAATGTTCATATCCTCCTCTTCGTGCCATTTTCTGATTAAATTCAAATTGCTTTTTATTGACGATTTTTATTTTGGTTCGACCAAAAACCAGATTCTCTCTGACGGAGGAGCTGGGGCTCAGGTCAGGTTCATTAAAACAAAGCTACGTAGAAACACAACTCACACACACACACACACACATGCATTTGAATGCGGTTTCTTTGGTGAAACAGCTGCTAAAAGCTTTCTTTATCCAAGCACCACATACCCCCGCCCCATCGATTAGGAGTGGTAATTGTTTTTGTTTTAGTTGCGGCGTTCAAATCAACAGATAACAATGTCCGCGTAACCACACACGCAACATTATTAATCTAATCTAAAGTTGTGGTGTGTGTGTGCCCCAAGATCCAGAGATGTCTATGTTGAAATTCCAATTTTATGCCGATTCACGGTCAATGTTTTTCCGATTTCGGTTCCTTCTACTTTACTCTTTTCAGGGTATCAATTTCATAGACTCTTTGACATAGAGAGATAGAGCACAGGGAACGCTTTAATTACGCATTTCCGTTCAACATTTGGGTTTTGTTTTTGTTTTAAAGAATTACATTCTCTGAATTATGCAATGATCGGATGGCTTCAAGCTGGTTGTGGTTCAAATCGGTCATTGAACGAGCACGGTACATTTGTTGTGTCGATTTTTTAGATGTCTCTGGCTCGAGAGAGAGAGAGAGGGAGTTCTCCTGAGGCCACAAGTTCAGTGTACCTTCCTTTTATTTTATTGCCCCGCATTCTGGTTTATTTATTTAGCCAAAAGGCGTCAGAGTTCAGCGCTCCAAGAAGCTAAGGAGATATTCAACTTGTCTCAAAGGCTTTATTATTATTCTGGGAAAAAATAAATTGTTACCGATTAATCTTAGGCTCTGTTTTTCCAACGAACGAAAGGAAAGACTGATTTTTCATTAAAATGTATTTATTCATATTGATTGAAAAAACGTTTAATGGCTTTCAAAGGTGAAACTTTAAATTAAATAAATGCAGACATACATGCATCGACTCTATCGATACCATGCAATGTGATTTGTATTATTACACACCTACTCGGTACATACATTTGTACTCAATCTGTTGTAAGCATATTCTCTTCAAGTTTCTTCTGATGACATCTAACGGTTAATAACCTCTAACGGGGATAGAGAGAATCGAATTGCATGTGCGAGACTACGGGGCGTTTAACACCTTTTTTGTTTTATATAAAATACATATTTATTTTTCATCGTAAAACATTTCCTTACTCGATTTGTTGTGTGATTCACAAACACACACACACAGAGAGAGGAGAGTGTGAGAGATGGAGAGGGGAGAGCCAGCGAGAGAATCACTTAACACGCTCACGCAGAGAGGGCATTTGTGGGTGCTGCTGCTGATGTTGTTTTTGTTGTGGCTGTCATTTCTGGACTATAAATAGCTTAGCGCTGAAGATAAAATGTAAAATATTGCCATTTTATTATATAAAATAGAAGTGTGTGTGATTGTGTGTGAAAAGTTGGCTCTCTCTCTCTCTCTCTTGCCTTTCGTATGTGTGTGCGTTTTGAAAATGCACCAAAATGGGGAAAACACAACAGAAATATTTGTATATGTATGAATGTATGTATGTACAATGTCCAAGGCATTTGGGATTCCCATGTGGGCAATTACCAATAAGGCGTCCGTCCTCGTCACAGTCCCCCTCTGTGTACGTCCCCTTTCCATTCGGTTTGCCGTCATTATCTGCTCTGGCAATTGATTATTCACTTCACACATACTTACGTGCACACATGAGATTGTCGATGTATGCTTGTATGTATGTATGTATGTTTGGTGCTCAAACACACATTTGTACTTAGTACCGAAGCCGTTATTGCTCTCAGCTGTCACCGTTGTCGCTTGCATTTCAAGCACTGTTATTTTTTAATAGTAGGTGCAAAGTCTGTCAGGGCTGCCAGATCAAATTTTCAAATGATAACATCAAACATTTTACCAACATTGAAGCCAAAGCCCATGTTTTGGCCAATGCCGATCTTGCATTGGAACCACGTTCTCAGGCGCGTGACACGTGCAGTGATAACCCATCCCAGCCACATTGAAAGTGGTTTGATAGCGTTTTGCTCGCATTTTCGCATGCAGCCCTGGTGGGTCGCTCGTGCGACTGCTTTGTGTTGGTGTGTAGGTGGCAACCCTGTAACTTCAGCAATGATTAATCAGGCAGCCTCTCTCTTTCCTTGACAACAACAAACAAAACCAAGTGAAAATCGATTCTGAAACCATAAAAAAATAAGACATTTTGCTCGAAATAACTTACCCTATTCTTACTAAACCTTGTTTTTGTTTTGCATCACTTCCTCATTCATTTGACTTGACATTGTTATCGCTGGTTTGGATAGTTCTTCTGCTTCATGTTCGTGTTGCTGTTGTTGTTATTGTTACAGTGCTAAAGAATCGCAGCACACAGGGGCACAGTACAAAGAAAATTATTCCACACAGCTGACAGCTGCTTCATATATTTTTCAACCATGAGATACATAAATACATACATATGTTCGTATGTCGATACGCATAATATATATACATACATACAGATATATGTATAGTTTTATGTTTGTAGATTCACGTGCATGCATCTCCTCCTCCATCCCTCTCCAATTTTCTTTTGAGCATTCCTTTACTCTCTCACGTATTGTATTTTATTAAAGTTTCCATTTATGTATGGATGAATGTGTGTGCGAAGTATTGTATTATTGTATTGCGGTGGTTGATGCCTGCGTCGGCTCCCTCCTGTTTCCTGATGCGGGCCAGCTGTTGAAGAAGTCGTCCTGCTCTGCCGTACATGCGAGTATTTTTTTCCTGTATGTACTTGTGTGCATTTCCTTTGGTAGCCTCACAGTCCCGCCCGCTGCGTATCCTTGCCTGCTTCTCCCTCTGCTATTTGTCCTTCTCGCTCCCTTATCTTATCCTTGGCCTTCCGTCTCTCTTCCCTCTTGTTCGCTCTGTTTCTTTCTTTTTATCCTTCTTCATATGTACATACATCCCTCCTTCTCTCTTGCTGGGAGAGTGCATTGGCCTTTTGTCGTTCAGCGGCTCTCAATGCTATTTGAGCGGCATTTTCTGTTGTTCCTGTTGTTGTAGCCAAACGAAACTTGAAATTGTTTTTTTTGCTGCTTCGCTGCTCCCTCTCTTTGTTTCGTTTTCGCGTTTGTTGTATTTGGTTTTAGCTAGTTTGTTTAGAGTTGACTACAAATTGTTTACTACACAGCCACAGACGCGACATTGTACATATTTATGTATAAATGAGTTTATAAAGTTTTTACCTTGACTGAGTGGGGTTGTCGCTGCTTTCGATAGTTGTATTTGTGTGTGTGTGTGGGCTTGTTGAAAATTGGGTTGTTTATGTGTGCATATTGACGGGGAACGCCCCAGGGGAACGCTTTAAAGGAACAAATTCCTAATTTCCTTCTTATTCACCTGCCATGATCAGCTGCGGCCCCACTCTCTTCCTTTCTGTCTTTGGTATCTCTTCGTGTTGGCTATTCCAGTTACCTGCCACCGCTCCCTTACCATTCACGGGGAGTTCCACTTGAAGAGCAAGGTGTGTGTGTGCGTGCGCCCTTGACTGTTTTACCCACTGGCAAAAAAAAGTAACGAAATAAACGAAATAAAAATAAATTTTCATTGTTAAATACTAGGAAACATTCGTTGGTTCAAAAATGTGAATGTGTGTATGAGAATAGAACAGAGATAAGCCCCGGCCAGAAGAGAGTATAGACCCAAGAGAGGCGGCAGTCAAAACGGTAGACAAAAACAGGCGCACGACATCAGACAACACGACAAAGCACGAACAAAACGAAGCCACGCCAAAAATGTGAATGCACACACAGGCTCACACATGCAAAAGGGAGCAGCCGCTACGGTAAATCTACCTGAGAGCGGAAAATTTTTGTATGCAAAAATGTCAAAAGTGAACAAAACCAACCGCATGCTAAAAAAATATGACAGAGCGAGTGTATGCACTCTTAATTTTCTCAAAGAAAGAGCAACTTTAAGAGAGTCGGCAACAGGAGAGTGAGTGAGTTAGTAGCGAGAGCCTACGTAGCGGGCACTCAACGTAAACATAAAACAGCTGAGTTTTTCAAAACGAATGATCGTTAGATCCCCGCGTAACGCGAAATAAACAGTAAAGGAGAATTACTGAAGTGGGAGAAGTACTGAAACGGATGTGTGAAGTGGAAACAAAAGAAAATCACAAGTGTTAAATACAACAATTAATACAACAAATTTTCTCTTATCAGAGTGTACAGTGAAATTAAGAACGTTGCAATATTCCAAACAACAAAAAACAAATCAAAACGTAACAGCAGAAATCAAAGAGGACGACGACAAGGCACAGCAATCCAACAAATAACCAACCAATCGGCAACAATTAAGTACGAAACAATTCTACAAATATGCCTTAAATGTGAATTTAAACTAAAATTGGTCACAATTTTATAGACAAGCCACAGCCGCCGCAGTTGGAGCAGCATCAAACAATACGGTCATTTGAAAGCTTAAAGCACTCCGCCCATCGCACTTACCAACACTGCACTGTGAGCGAGAGAGCGAGCGAGCGAGCGAGCAACAGCTGATTGGGATAGTTGTTGTTGCTGCTGTTGGGGAAACGGCGCAGAGAGAGAGAGAGAGAGAGAGAGAGAGAGCGAAACTACTACGTGTGACGTGTGTGGGGGCATACAGGTGGCAGAACAGCTGTTCCAACAACAAAAAAGCAATACAACAAAGATTCATTATTCTAGAATATCCCATTGTAAGTACATAAGTGCATTGTCCTTGTTTACTTGTCGATATTAAGCTGAAATATTTTCTTTCATATTCTGTACCTGCACCTAGACCCCGACTGCAGTTTTTCCAAGCATAAAGTAAGCTATTTTGGTTATTTTTTTTTATGGTTTTGCTAAGACGTGTGCTGACGACACACACGCACGCATGCATTCAGACTACACAAAAGAGAAGTCATAAGAGAGTCGCCAACCAAAGAGAACAGAACTTACGTCTAACGGGGAACGTTGGTGGCTGAGACAGTGCCAAGTGCGCACATTAAATCGCAAACTTGTTTTCGTTTTTCGCTTTGCTCCACACGCTTCACCTACAACAAAAGTAACAACATCAAGAGCCAGAGCCCAGAGCTGTGGCCGAAAGACAGCAAGGCAAGTGATACAAGGCACGTACGTACGTTAATACATGGCCTAACGAGAGCGCACATAAGAGAGGGATAGCCAAAGATAGAGAGAGAGAGAGAGAGAGAGAGAGAGCAGCCACCTCGACATCAGTGATCTGCTCCGTCGCACTCGTTGTCGCCTGCTACATGGGCCACGGGGCGAAGTGAGCGGTGTAATAAACGAGTGCACAGCACAGAGCACAGAGAGCGGAGCAGAGCAGCGAAGAGGTGGAGAGCAGACGACGGCGACGGGCAACCACTTGAAAGCAACTCGTTTCGATTTCATTTAGCAGATACCTTTTGTACGTTGATTAAGATACCTTGGGACTCACATACAGCCCCTGATCCCATACAAAAGAAGGCAAATAAATTGCAATAAAACACAAGAAAACATTGTGAGCCGAGTGAAACGTGTAAATAAATCTGAATCGGAACTTTAGCTATAAAGAAATATATCAAAATTCCAGTGCCAAGTACACCACAGATACAAATACAAGAATTCCAAAACCGAAAATGTCTTGAGTAAAAGTTTAAAGCGAAATATATACATGTGTACACGCATACATCAATAGCAGAAAGAGAAAAAGTGGTTAAAAGGCATTTAAAATTAACAAAATATTTCAACTGAAACGTGAGTGTGTGCGTTGTGAGTGTGCAAAGTAAAAGATATACACATGCATGTAGGCCTCCACATACATTCATGCATACATATTTAAATATATATATACATGTACATACATATGTATCGATGTGCAACTAATATAGATGTGGACAAGAAAATATAATAAGCAGAGCCAGAGCCATTGCCATAGCCAGAGGCAGAAGTAAAATATATAAAAATCAACGTACAAGCACAGATGATTTTTAGCAAAAAGCGAAAAGAAAAAAGATCAAGCAGCAACAACAAAAACAACACAACGGAGAAGCCAATCAAAACAGCAGTTGTCTCGCTTCAACGCTCTCGCTGCGATCGACAGTGACGGCAGCAGCAGCAGAAGCAAAAGCAAGGCAAGGAGCCGAGCAAGAGCGAGAGAGAAAAAGCAGTCACGGACGTGTGTGAGCAGAGTAGCGCAGCATTGATTTGATTGCTGCTGCTGCTGCCGTTGTCTTTGATTTTGCTTATGGCCGCCGCTGACTGACCTGAGAGCACCTCTTACATACGTGTGCATGCACATGCATACATACATTAACAAATACATTGACAACTGTTGGCACCTGGCGCAGGAGCGACTGTCGCTGCCGCTACGGCAATTTCAACGAGCGATTTAACAACTACAACAAAAGTAACGGCAGCACCAAAAGCAGTACCAATAGCACACCCCCGTTCGCTCGCCCGCCTGCAGAAGCAAAAGCAGCAACAGAGCATACATGCGCCTACCTTAACCCAATTAAAACCCCATATTATTTAACAAAAGAAATTGTGTTATTTGCAAAGAGCACACACATCGAAAGACACACGACAGACTGCCAGAGATACAGAGAGAGAGAGAGAGCGAGAGAAGTAACGCAAAGTAAAGAGAGCGGGTACAATTGGGAGTGCAAATATCTACCAGAAGACTTTTTTTGAAAGTAGACAGGCACAATAAAAAAAAAAATTGTCTTCCATACGGAAGTGATATTTTCCACTGAAAAGGAAGCAAAATACGGCTATACATTTACGGACCGGTTGCGTGTATTGATCCTTGCCTGCATTTGAAATAAAAACGTTTATTTTTTAATAAAACTCAGCTTAACTCAGCCAAAAGAGACGGAGATACATATATCTGTGCACCTCTCTCTCTCAGTGTGTGTGCATGCGTGTTTGTGAGAGTGCAATATATTTATGTGATTGTGTGTGGGTCAGAGCACACGTCTTAGCAACAACGAAATTCTTTATACGATTACAACATACTAAACTAAAAACATTATTAAATTACACAGAAATAACAAGTGGAGAGCATCACAACAAAAACAACCAACAACAGGAGCAACAAACGCATCTTCCAGAGGCACCCTTCCAGACGTCCAAACGTTCCACTTTGTGCGCTTCCTTCCTCCTTCCTTCCCTCCTTTACACACCCGTTTGGTCTATCATTCGGGCTGTTTTCCATTATTTTGCAACACTGGCTGGCCAAGCATCCTGCCCACACTCTCATCTATCGCATATCGCCTCGCCATTCATCGTGCAACGGCACCATCCATAGAAGGAAAGGAAACATTGGAAATCACAGTTTGAACATCTGAACATCTGATCTGATCTGGTTCGATTCGATTTGCGGCTAATTGCGCGCACGTTATGACCAATTCGATTGCGTCAGCAAAATGCCTGCCCAATGCACTCTCGTCTGGCAATTATGGTATGTCGCAAAGCCACCGTTACACCGATGATAGCAAGGAGTACATCATCGTCAAGCTCACCGACTCCGCCTTCCGTGCAATCGAGGAATACCAGCGGGATGACAATGCCAAACGCCTGCAGCCCGGCCAGCGGGCCAAGATCCAGTTCATTGGCAACACCGGCGTCATACAGTTCCCATCCCGACCCTCGAAGACCGAGGGCCATACAAGCAGCAACAATGGCAACAACCTACCTTCTGGCGGCAGCAGCAACACTGGCGGCAGCCACATGGATAATGGAGGGCGTAAATTTGGTTTCACCATCAACAACATGGAAGGTACCCTCGAGTGCGTACAGCAGCAGCAACAGAGCCTCGGCGTACTCGGTGCGGTCACGCTCCGGATGCGGATACATGCCAACGACGATGTCTACGATACGACACGCACAAAAATGGCCATTGCCGAGGAGACGGAGAAGAGCAAGTGCATACGGGAGATCAAGCCAAATCAGTCGGATATTGGGCGGAAGGTGAAGAAGGCCCCATCATCGTCCTCATCCTCCCTGACGACGACGACGCCGACGACGCCGACGACGACAGCATTTCATCATCACAGCAACAGCAGCAACAACAACAACAACAGTGGGAACAACAGCAACAGCAACAGCAGCAGCAGCAATAGTTTTAATAGCAACAGCAACAACAACAGTAGTCGTAAGTTAGGTACATCGCCATTTAATGGTCTAGGAGTAGGAGGAGCACTAGGAGTAGCAGGATCAGGAATAGGATCATCATCGTATGCCACGTCGTATGCGTCCGCCACAGCATCACAGCGATCGCCAAATCCAAGTACGCTGGGTGGCAGCGGCACAGTCAATGGCGGTGGAGCGTCGTCGAATCGTTACCACAGCAACAACAACAGCAACAACTCGGCCTCCTCGCTGGCCTCTACATTTGCCAATGGAATATCGCAGGGCTACAACATGAGCGGCAGCTCACCGAGGGACAGCCAGCCAATCAACAATAGCAACAGCAACCATATAACAACCACAACCTCCGCCATATCCTCTTCCTCGACAAATGGGCGCAGCAAAATGGTTAGTGGTGGTGGCGGCAACTCGAGGAGCGGCAACAAGTCATCCGGTGGCAACAAAATGTCTGAGGTGTCGCGGCGCACCATTCGGGAGCGACTGATCCACTTGCTGGCCCTCAAGGCCTTCAAGAAGCCGGAGCTGTTCGCTCGCCTGAACAACGAGGGAATACGCGAACGGGAGCGAAATCTGATCACCAGCATACTCAAGGACATCAGCACGATGGCGCAGAACACGTACAATCTGCGGCGTCAGATGTGGAACGATGTGGACGAGAACTGGCCGTACTTTAGCGAGCAGGAGGTGCAGCAACTGAAGCGTCGCAAGCCACAGAATCTGACGCCACCGATGAGCTCCGATGCGGGCAGTTCCACGTCCGGACAGAGCCCTACATCGACGCATACGGGGAGCCCACCGCCGCATGGCAATGGCGGTGGAGTGGGTGGCGGTGGTGGTGGATCTGGGGGCGTTGGTGGCGGCAGCCTGAAGCGTACAAGCCTGGAGTACGACGAGACGATGTTCAGCACGGTGCAGCCGAAGAAGCAGCGCATCAGTCACTACAAGAAAGACACTCCGCCCTCTGCCACATCGTACTCGTCCTCCTCCTCAGTGTCCGTGTCTGCCTCGTCCTCCTCCTCCTTCTCGAACCGAAACCGATACACGCCTCCGCAGCGCCAAGGAGGTCCGCTGGATGATCACATTAGCAGTGATCTCAGCTACAATGTCCTCGACAACATGGAGGAGTTTATGAGCACAACGGCGGCGGCTGCTGCAGTGGCAGCAACAGCAGCGACGCAACAGCAGCAGCAGCAGCACTCAAGGAGCAATAGCAGTAGTAGACGTGGAAGCTCCTCCCAAAACGTTGGCAACGGCAGCAAGGATAAGCGCAACTCAACCGGCAGCAATTCGAGCAGTTCCAGCGGCTACGAGACACAGCTGGAGCGCAATCGATCGACGGCGACGACGACGGGAGGAGCGACGACGAGCATGCCAGCGAATCGCAGCAGTAAATCCTCAACAACACCGCCCAAGCTGGCGACCAGCTTTGTGCCAGCAGCCACTGGAGGAGGAAAAGGATCAGGGTCTGGAGGCAAGCAGCGTTCTTCGACGGCGCCCAATCTGCCACTGCAACAGCAGAAGCATCAGCAGCAGCAGAGCGACTACAACTCATACAACAACAACACACATGCGGCCTCCAACAGCAAGAAGCGTACGAGTAGTGGTGCAGGTGCAAGTGCAGGTGCAGGTGCAGGTGCATCATCATCCAGCGACAGAGGGCAGCGTCAGAGAAGCTCAAACTCAAGCTCAAGCTCTGGCTCTTATCAACAGGTTCCAACTCCCTCCTCCGCCAACGCATCCCGTTCCGCATCGGCGTCGTCCGTCCAACAGCAGCAGCAGCAGCAACTGCATCAGCAACAGCAGCTTGAGCAGCAGCAGCAGCAGCAGCATAGCCATCAGCAGCAGCAGCATCCATCGCCGACACAGCAGTTGGCAGCGGCCACCCATGCGTATGCGAATGCGGATGTCGATTCGTCCTCGTGCCCACGCTACGACTTCAGCCAATACGTTCCCATACGTTCACTGGAAGTGCGTAGACGCTACAAGACTGAATTTGAGAGCGACTACGATGAGTATCGGAAGCTGCTGACCCGTGTGGAGGGTGTCCGCAATCGCTTCCAGACCCTCTCTGAGCGCATGGACAGCGCCCGGCGTAGCGACAACGGCTACGGAGACTACGATCAGATCAAGCGGCAGATTGTCAGCGAGTACGAGCGGATCAATAACGATCGCACCATACGTGAGGATAAGCAGCGGTTCGACTACTTGCAAGCCAAGCTGGCCCACATTAAGCAGCTGGTTACGGACTATGACCAGACATTGATCACATTGCAGGCGACTCCTGCCCCAACGCCTGCGCCAGCGCCAGCGCCAACGCCAACGCCTGCACCGGTTCCTGCTACTGCTCCTGTGGAAGCAGCACAAATGGCGGCACGACACGCGGAACAGCAGCGGAGACAGCAGCAGCATCATGCGGTTGAGACGATAGAACAGCATTATCCTCAGCATCAGCATCAGCAGCAACAGCAACAGTCGCAGGAGCATCAAAGCGATTCGGATAGCAGTTCCGATAGTTCGGATGATGATGATGAGGATTGCGAAGATTCTAACTCCAATACCGATGACGATCAGAACCGCGACCGCTACTGATACACACACACAACTGCAACAACATCTTTGATGATCCGCTTAGCCCTTCCTAACCCTTAACCCTAACCTCCCCCATGTAAAAAGGCAAAACAAACAAACAAAACAAAAACAAAAACAAAAATGAAGTAGAAAAGGAAACTATTATATACATAAATAAACAACAAATACTATTATAGTGAAAATGCAAAAAAAAATACAACAAAACACAAAGCGATAAACCGAGGAAAAAACACCAAGCAACAACAAAAATGTTCTTAAAGAAAATTGTACTGCAAAAACAAACAAACACACAAAAAAAGCAAATGTTGAAATTACGGAATATGTTAACACGAAAATATAAAAAATTTAAAAACCAACAAAAAAACAAAGAACCTTTCGCTTAATGATACTTTTTATCGAAACGAGAGATGCATATATAACTTGTACACATATATGAAACTATTATACATATATTATACATATAAAAAATATAGCAGATGCAGGATTCAGATTCAGAATGCAGGAGGAGGAGGAGCAGGAGACAAAATCAATATTTTTAAACGCGTTTGAGCAACAATTTATACGAGTTGTAGACTTTACATTTTTTTTGTTGTTGAACATACCAGACCAGAGACATGAGAGCAGCTTGAGAATTAAGAAGATCCGTAGCTAAAATGAGAATAAATAGAGAGAAAACTTCTCCTTTTAATTGCGTTTATTGTGTGTAATAATAATTATTATATTATTCTAATTATATCAACTTTTAAATATAGTCTATGTTTTTCGTTTAATCTAATACTTTTTTTTTTATTTTTTGTATCTTGATTTCTGTTTTATTTTTTTGTTTTCTGTTTTTTTTTTCTTTAACATTTTGTTCAAAGCGGCAGACAACTCACGGACATACACACAAACACACACACACACACACACACTCATCCACAAAATTATTGCATTTTTTTCGGGCATAGCTTTTTGTTCTGTAGATTTGTGTTAAGAGCGAGAGAGAAAGAGAACACACAAAGTGTCCGTAATTTACAGTTGCGAGCACAGCTAGCCATTACATGTGGGAATGGGAAGGGAACGGAACACTTCGACTCGAATCATTGAATTCCGTGAATGGCTGGCAAATGGACAGACAGAAGAGAGCACCCAAAGAGGCAACATACAATATAATACATAATTATATTTTCCTTTCGGTGTTGCGTCGGGCGACGGGCGAGGTGGGATGCGCGGGTGGTTGCATGCGGGCGTGCCTCTAACAATAGACTGAACTTTTCTAACGACTTGCTAATTTCTAGCGGCTTTTGTAGTAAAAATTATTCGTCAATTTTTAATTGATAACTAGTTAATTTGTTATATATTTTGTTTAATTTTTTGTTTTAGACACAATAGACACAACACCGGCACCACAAAAATAATACTATCTATCCGTACTCATTTTTTGTTATTGGAAAACAATTATAACAGGAACAAACAATATGAATATTCATTTTTGAGGGGTTGCGAAAATTCACATTGCTCAAAAAACTACAACTGAGGGAGACCTAATAGGGGGTTGGACATACACATGCATACTTAATGGTTGTATCAGAGCTACTATTTGCGGACCTCTTTTAGTTCATAGACAGACAGACCAGACACCCAGACGAAGCTTTCTAAAGTCAAAGTTTAAGTGAAATTGAAATTGTAATTGTCGCTTTAAAATTATCAAAATAATTTGCTGAAAAACTCTAGTAGTGTCAAAAAATGATAGGGAATGGAGAGGAATGATGTTAGGGAAAACGAAAGCAAAAACAAAGCATAGGATCTAACACGAAATTGTAAGTAAAAAAAAAAAACAAAGAAACCGAAGAAATTTTAGCTATTTCGTTGCAATATTTTTTATATACGATATTTAAGTAGACCTGTGGGAGGGTAGGGATGAACGATGATAAGTGACGACGAATGATGACAAAAAACTAAAAAAGGGAAAATCAAATGAAATAAATCGATTCGTAGCAATTACAAAAAATCATATATACAATTTATATACAACAAGAAAACAAAACACTACAAAATATATATATATATATATATATATATATTGTATACAACATTGACATTTGATAAGTAAAGTAAACAAACAAAAAACAATGAAAACTTACTAGTTTTTATATAAATGCCACGCCCACAACGCCCATACACACACACACACACATTACACCACACACCAACACAGCAATTTATAAGAAACAAAAAATGAAAGAAACTTATTAAGGAATAAGTGAAAAAGAAAATACATAAAAGTGAGAAATGAGAATCGAGTGGGCGTGCCGTAGCGCCGTGCCGTGAGAGAAGGGAAGAGAAATGAAAAGTTAAGAGTACGATTACGATTACGAAGGAGTAGACCAGATCAAGAGACATGAGCGAAAGAAAAATATTATTATTATTATTATTATTATTGCTATTATTATTGTATAACTAAGAGCAAACACCGCTGACAAGACCAGCAGAATGAAAAATCTTACAAAAAAACGAGATATTGTTATATACTAGTAATGATTAAGAGACCACAAACAAACAACAAACAAACAAAATGAAAAACGGAGAAACAACAAAAAAGCCTTGACAAAAAAAGCAAAAAAAAAAAATAGAATCAAATAAAATATTGAATCGAAAAAAAAAACACGAAAACTGTTTCTTTTATTTTGATTTTCCCATTTGAGGATTAGGTCTTGACCCACGGCACTTGAACATGACCCACAATGGTAAAGCGCGCTGTTTGATTATCTTTCTATTATTATTTGTATACTAATTTCGACTATTTTTCCCCATTTTCTATTTCCAAACCCAAACGTTTAGAGGAAGAAGAGGTACAGGAGGAGAATGCACCAGTGGCGGAGCTCTCCAACGATTCCGATGCGCCACTGAAGCCGAACGTGAGTATTGTTAGTATTTCATTATCTAATAAAATAGATGTACTCATATTGATATGAGTCTCACACTCACATGGGCAGAAATCTACAGATTTAAGCATAGAAAGTTTAACTTTGATCAAGAATTAACGATTGTCAATGGAATAATACTGGAAGAAAAACTAACCCCCATTGGGTGCTGCTCCTCAGCAAGCTATTATACATATTATTTATATCATATCAAACTTCTTACCGGGAGGGAAGCTCTAAACGACAGATATTTTGATTTTATGTCGGTCTGAAAAATATAATTCTTGTTTTTTTTTTGCATTCTCTGGAATTTTTTTTGTTCACTTTTCGCTTATGCGTCAGGCTGTGGCATCGGTTGTCGAGGAAGTAATCACAGATATCCATTCAGATCCATTTTTCTATTGCCCATGAAACGCGAAAGTTAGGATCTATTGTAATCGTTATCTTCTTTGTTTGGAAATAGTTTTTAGAGTCATGAATCGATTTCAAGGTTGATTATTATTATTATCACAATCGCTTATTGCACTTCGATTATAGGATATTGGTCTGTTGTCCGTTCCTGTGGAAGATCTCTCCCTGTATGTGTATTATTCAAAGCTAAACCGAAGCACTGAGGTGCATCCAAAGCATGTAGGGGCCACGGTACAGATCTCCTGCCATAGAGTGGGTATTCACATAGGATGTACTCCGATGTTTCCTGCTCTATATCAGAGAATATCAAAGCGTCCATCTCTATAAATATCAGTTTCTTAAGGTGATATCTGTGGCGGCCCTGTAAGTCCGAATGGTCTCCGGGATGCCCAGCCATTCCGTGAGGGTGTTGAAAACATTCCTCCATCAGTTTGGATCTCGGAAGTGATCTCAGCACCAGCCGCTTGGCTGTCCGAGGAAATGTAGACGTAAGCGTCTCCGCTGTCTTACGAAATAGCTAGATATCCATGACCGTCTGGAAGATGGTTGGTGATTTTCCCATGGTTATGCCTGTGGACCCAGCCATGTACCAGATCGGACAGGAGACATTCTGCAACTGTGGTGCGGTGGCTGCAGACAGCTCCTAGACAGACAGGCGTCGTGTTCCTACTCATATCAGAAGCTCCTTAAGCGTCTGATAATTAATTTGTGCAATTTATTATTAATTATCGCTATAAATATACGTGTTCCTACTCATATCAGAAGCTCCTTAAGCGTCTGATAATTAATTTGTGCAATTTATTATTAATTATCGCTATAAATATATGTACATCGAAGCAGAATGACGAGGACGATGACTACGATCCTGAGGACAGTCGCAAGAAGAAGAAGGGCAAGAAGCGCAAGACCCGAAAGGGTGAGGAGAAGGGGCGCAAGAAGAAGAAGCGCAAGAAGAACGAGAGCGAGGAAGACAGCGACTTTGTGCAGCACGATGAGGAGGTGGAATATGCGAGCACCTCGAAGCGCGGCCGCAAACGCAAGGAGGAGAAGCAGGCAGCCATGGCCAAGGAGAAGGAATCGGCAGAGTCGGGTAAGCAATTGAAAACTTGTTGAATAATCCTATCAATATCCTTTAATAACAATACCTCTCCTCACCCCTCACCCAGGCATGCCCTCTGTGGAGGATGTGTGCTCAGCCTTTGGAGTTTGTGACGTGGAAATTGAATACAATGACGACGAACTACAGAGCCTGACCACCTACAAGGCGTTCATGCAGCATGTGCGTCCGATCTTGCAGCGGGAGAACCCTAAAGTGGCAGCCACAAAGCTAATGATGCTGGTGGGTGCCAAGTGGCGTGACTTTTGTGAGAGCAATCCTCACATTCTGCAGGAGGCAACGGCTGCAGCAGGCGGAGGCAGCAGCAGCGGCGGCGGCCAAGCACCCGATGAACCGGAGGAGCCGCGTTCCTCGCGCTCATCGCGCAACGAGAAGCCCGACGATATCTATGACGAGGCTGTAGAGGAGGAGGAGGAGGAAGAGGAGGAGGAAAAGAAACCGCGACGCAAGCGCAGCGGCCGTGGCAAGAAGGGCCGCCGACCATCGGGAAAAGTGCCAACATTGAAGATAAAATTCGGCAAGCGAAAGCGCGACAGCTCGGACGATGAGCAGGATGCAAGCGGTGCCTCGGAGCGGGACTCGGATCTGGAGTTTGAGCGCATGCTACAAAAGTCTGATGACAGTGCCGACGAGAAGGAGACAGCGCCAGCCACCTCATCCGTAAAGCCCGCA